TGTCCAGTTTGAGAAGGCATGCACTGTTGAAAATGTGGCCTAAGGTATTTTTCAATCTCTAAAGCCTTATAATATGCTTTCTTAACCATTTCAGGAGAGTGTAAGTTAATCTCTCTCAATCTCAAGTCTCAAACCATTAATGAATTTTCTAACTGTTACCCATGACTCTTCCTTTATGTCACATGGCACAAAGAGCTCCTCAATTCGAGCTAGGTAATCAGTCACACTCAAGGTCAATTGATGCAAGTTCATCTACTTGTCCAAGAGTTGACGCTTATAGTAACTAGGAAAATATTTATCTCACAATCTTTGTCTCATCTCAGACCACAAAGTAATGGGTTGTTCCTCTAAGCGTTCTTGTTCTCGTTGGACTCCCTGCCACTATCTCTTAGCTGGACCAACAAATTTCATTTTTGCAAAACAAACTTGATGGTCACCAGACATATTTTACCAATCAAAATAGTCATCTATTTCATCCAACCAATCTAAGAAAATAACAGGATCTAATCTACCATCAAAACTACGAGCATCCACTTTGACTCTTTATGTGATATCCCTAGATTCTTCATGAACATGCCTATGTCGAGGATTATGGTAACGCGTAGGGGGAGGCCTATGGTATCTAACACGTGGTCGTAAGGGCTCACAATAACTGGCCATATCACCCTTTATTGAATACTCAGACATGACTACCTCAGTGGAATCCTCATGAAAATTCCTACAATCTACATTTCATCCGAAAAGGATATTAGGAGGTGGCCTCCTATTTGGACACTGAACTCGAATCCCTTAAGCTACCTACAGAGTGGGTAGGACACCTTGACATGAGTTAGTAGGATCTATCAGGATATGCAAGTGCCTAACATGGTGTGTCAGTCTGAACTTAGGTGAAACTGGTGACTCACCCTGGTCATACTCTATTGGACATTTCTCAACAAACTTAGTCAATTGGACTAGTTGAGTAGTAAATTGAGAAAGTTGTTGCCCCATTCTTTAAACTTTCTCACGTAACAAGTCAATTGAACGTTTAGTGTCGGTCATATCAATGGTGAGGGTCTCAAATTTTTGTTACAGTGCAATATGGTACTCTAAAAGCTCAAGAAGGGTCATAGTGAATGTGATGTAAAATTTTGGCTAATGTGGAATA